AAGGCTAACATTTTAACAGGGGACATTTTGGACTTGATTGAGCAAGGCTATCATTTTAACAGGGGACATTTTGGACTTGATTGAGCAAGGCTATCATTTTAACAGGGGACATTTTGGACTTGATTGAGCAAGGCTATCATTTTAACAGGGGACATTTAGGACTTGATTGAGCAAGGCTATCATTTTAACAGGGGACATTTAGGACTTGATTGAGCAAGGCTATCATTTTAACAGGGGACATTTAGGACTTGATTGAGCAAGGCTATCATTTTAACAGGGGACATTTTGGACTTGATTGAGCAAGGCTATCATTTTAACAGGGGACATTTTGGACTTGATTGAGCAAGGCTATCATTTTAACAGGGGACATTTAGGACTTGATTGAGCAAGGCTATCATTTTAACAGGGGACATTTTGGACTTGATTGAGCAAGGCTATCATTTTAACAGGGGACATTTTGGACTTGATTGAGCAAGGCTATCATTTTAACAGGGGACATTTAGGACTTGATTGAGCAAGGCTATCATTTTAAGGCTATCATTTTAACAGGGGACATTTAGGACTTGATTGAGCAAGGCTATCATTTTAACAGGGGACATTTTGGACTTGATTGAGCAAGGCTAACATTTTAACAGGGGACATTTTGGACTTGATTGAGCAAGGCTAACATTTTAACAGGGGACATTTTGGACTTGATTGAGCAAGGCTATCATTTTAACAGGGGACATTTAGGACTTGATTGAGCAAGGCTATCATTTTAACAGGGGACATTTTAGACTTGATTGAGCAAGGCTATCATTTTAACAGGGGACATTTTAGACTTGATAGAGCAAGGCTATCATTTTAACAGGGGATATTTTGGACTTGATTGAGCTAGGCTATCATTTTAACAGGGGATATTTTGGACTTGATTGAGCAAGGCTATCATTTTAACAGGGGACATTTAGGACTTGATTGAGCAAGGCTATCATTTTAACAGGGGACATTTAGGACTTGATTGAGCAAGGCTATCATTTTAACAGGGGACATTTTGGACTTGATTGAGCAAGGCTATCATTTTAACAAGGCTATCATTTTAACAGGGGATATTTTGGACTTGATTGAGCTAGGCTATCATTTTAACAGGGGATATTTTGGACTTGATTGAGCTAGGCTATCATTTAACTTGAAAAATTGTTACTTGTAAAGTGACACAGATAGCTTATTATATTACAGATTTGAACCAAGTCAAGGACAATAACTCTTAAAAACTTTGACTGATGTTTTTAAAAGTCGAGAATACAAAAAACCCATTTGAATAATAATTCATTGAAAAGGCAACAATTTATGATTTTAAACAAGTCAAGGACAATAACTCTTCATAACTTTTATCAAAACCATTGACATCAAAGTAAAATAATACGATATGAAAGATAAAAATTCATTATTTTAAACAACAATAACTCTAAATCTATTTTGGATCAAAAAGCATTCACATCAAAATGAAACAATATGTAATTCAAACACGTCAAAGACAAGAACTTTTAGAATTCTTAATCAAAATCATGGACTTTAAAACCATAAAAAACCATCAAAGCATGAGGTGTTTCCTTTCAACCTTGTGTGTAACAGCATGAGTCTAAAACACAAATATCAAAATAATAGTGATAGTGAAATCTTCAATAGTGAAAACAAAAAAATAGGACACTAATGGTTATTATATAAATGGAACTCAAAAAAACATCACAGAAATGACAAAGTTAAAGGAATTGTAAAGAAGTTTTCTACATTTTTTATGTGTATCAGGAACACTGATGGCATCAATTTTCACCATTCTAATTTTCAATCAGACGTCTGTGGTTCCTGCAATTCCACAAAAACTAAGTGTTTGATGACGTCACTAATCGTAAAATATGATTCATCACTTAACACCCTTCGCAATTTGTGACGTCAAACACTCAATTGAGTGGAATTGCAGGAACCACAGACGTCTGATTGAAAATTGGAATGATGTAAATTGATGCTATCAGTGTCCCTGATATACATAAAAAATTAGAAAACCTTTTTACAATCCCTTTAACATCAGAATTTTTTTATACAATAGCTATTTAATTGACATATCACAAAAAATGACATTAAAGTTGACATGTTCATTAATCAAAATCAAAACACTATCAAATCAAATATTGACATTGCTCTGTGGGTCACACGAGATTTCCGACACAAAATGTCAAGCTATTACTAACTCTGTCTTATACCTTGACAACAATAGATACTTATCTTGTATCACAGAATGCAGCAGTTTGATATTGCATCTTCACAATATGTTAGCTATTAATAACTCTGTCTTATACCTTGACAACAATAGATACTTATCTTGTATCACGGATTGCAGTGTTTTATATAGCATTTTCACAATGTCAAGCTAGTACAAACTCTGTCTAATACCTTGACTGCAATAACCGCCTTTCTTGTTTAAACTCTGTTATATACCTTGACATCATAAACCACTTTTATTGTTTGAAAATAAGGCGATTTGACCAGATTTTGGCTACACTTAATTAAAAATGGGATTTGAGACATTTAATGAACTCACTGAACAAAAGTCTAAAGTCTACAACCTGAATATTCTACATAAGATGAATCTCAATTCAAACTCAATGTTTTGGGTATAAAAACCTTATCAGGACAGTTGCTTTGAAAACACGACTAAAGACGTATAGAGAAAATGAGAGAACTCACTGAACAGGAGCAAAAATTCAACAAAATGAATATTCTAAAGTATCAATTAAACTCTCAACATAACTCCAATGTTTCTGATATTACAACCTCATCAGGACAGTTGCTTTGAAAAATGAGTGCATTGGCAACAGAAATTTCCAACAGTACAAAGAAGTTTTATCTCCTGAGTACAAATTGCTTCAAGCTTATTTGGTTCTATCTTTTGATTTAAAAATCCAACAAATATCAAATTTAAATTGAAAATAGAATCAAAAAGGATTTCTATTAGCTGATAAATAGATGAGCCCATGTTTTAAGTTTTATTGCACAAAGTCTGTTAAAAGTTCTAGTGCCTGCAAGTTTCCTAGAACTAAGAATTGTAACTTAAAGGGACAGATGCGCCATTTTTTGTCCAATCATACTTTAGTCTTAGAAACGGAATTTTTTTTTAGTTAAGTCAATCAGTAATAGTGTTCACAGCTCAGTCGAAATTTGAGCCTTCAAATCCATGTGTGTCCAGAATTATCCGCGTTTGAAAGTTAAAATGGCGACTTGTCAATTTAAGATACTCTGTGATATATAGAAAAGACAACTATAGAAATAGTGAGTAAAATTCCTAGTTTGAGATATTTTTGTGATTTTTCGTACATTTCTAGTACTTCTGAAGACTATTTACATATATTCAAGACTAAAATCAACCTCCTATAAAGGAACATCTGTCCCCTTAAAAGGACTATAAAAAGGTTATTTTTTATGTATATCAGGGAAATTTTGGTTGGACAGTGGCATTAACCTGTACTTCTGAAGACTATTTACATATATTCAAAACTCAAATCAACTCTCCAAAATGGGGCACCTGTCCCTTTAATGCTAACTTGGAGGAGAAAGAACAAGCAATATGATACAAAACAATGTTTTTTTCTGTAAATAATGAATAAATATAGGTTTTTGTCTAGTGTATAGATAATACAATATAAGTATACTATAAATATACATATTGGCCCAGTTAATATAATGGTCTAGAATAAAGATAAGACAATAAGACAAATCTTATCTTTCTAATTCATTGACTTATTTTCTGGAATTATCTGCCATTTACAGGTCAATTTGCTTTATGGGTTAATTTCTATCAAAGGTCAGGGGTTTGAAAAGGAAGGTAACGCATTGGTGTGGGATTTTTTTTTTTGAGGGGGCTTGGGCAGTGGTTGGAGAGTGGAGAGGCTGTGATAACTAATTCATTGACTTATTTTTCTGGAATGATCCGCCATTTTCAGGTCATTCTGATTTTATTGTTAATTTCGTTGTCAAGGACTGTTCTTTCTGGTTTTTTTTTGTGTGTCACTTTTCTTACGTGGTTTATTTTTCATGGATGTTAGACAGGACCATGTCCTGGGCCTAATTCTGACCCATGTAAAATAAGAGTTTATGTTTGTTCCCATGGACTGAATGTTAGACAGGACCATTTCCTAGGCCTAATTCTGACCCATGTAAAATAAGAGTTTATGTTTGTTCCCATGGACTGAATGTTAGACAGGACCATGTCCTAGGCCTAATTCTGACCCATGTAAAATAAGAGTTTATGTTTGTTCCCATGGACTGAATGTTAGACAGGACCATGTCCTAGGCCTAATTCTGACCCATGTAAAATAAGAGTTTATGTTTGTTCCCATGGACTGAATGTTAGACAGGACCATGTCCTAGGCCTAATTCTGACCCATGTAAAATAAGAGTTTATGTTTGTTCCCATGGACTGAATGTTAGACAGGACCATGTCCTGGGCCTAATTCTGACCCATGTAAAATAAGAGTTTATGTTTGTTCCCATGGACTGAATGTTAGACAGGACCATGTCCTGGGCCTAATTCTGACCCATGTAAAATAAGAGTTTATCATTAAGTATTATAAAAAGTTGCCAGACCATGTCCTTGTCCCCAAACCATCCATAACTGAGGCTGGTGAAGATTCGCCCTCCTTTCAACCCACTGGGGGTGCCAGAATTTTGAGATTGGGGGTACAAATAGGGGGCAGAAAGACAGAGTCATTGGGGGCACAGGGCAAATTGGTAGAGTTTTTGGAGGGTGAAGTTCTCAAAAGAAAATTTTCGAAAATTTGAATTGATTTGGTGCATTCTGACACTATTCTGCGACATGCATTTTGGCAGTGTCCAATTCTTCTGCCCTTACTAGAGGATGGTCATGTTATGCAGTATGCAGTGAGGGAAATTTCTCCAAGCTAACTTGCTAAACTATATTCTACCCACCTTGTTCATCATCTTGGTTGGAAATTTTTCCCTATTTAAAGATGACTTCTTTGGCTTCATTTCTAAAAGAGAACCTCTGTGAATTTCATACAGGTACTAGAGATGTAACAGGCCCCATTTCAGATTTTGAGCTACAAATTTAGAAAAAAAAAAATTCAGTAGGCCTATTTCTGTAACAAGAAATTAATCTTATGGACTCTCAGTAATGGATGGAAACATTTGTTTTTTGGAGGGGTTGTGGTCGAGGCTTGGGAGCACTTTAATATTTTAGAATTTTTTCGATATTTTTGAAGAGAATTGGAATATCAGTCTCAAAAGACTACTGCTAGTCTTGGAATGTCTTTGTGTTGATAAAAATATAATATTTTGTCAGTTTACATGAAAAGAAACACATTTCTCTCCTAAAAATTTCAACCCAAAAAAGTCACAAATTTTGGCTGAAAATTGTCCTCTGTAAAAACAAATTTTGAAGACATAATGTGTGTTTATGTTTATATTTTTATCAAAGCAAAGACATTCTAAGATCTACCATTTTGAGGCTGTTATTCCAATTCTCAAAAAAATAATGGGAAAAATTCATAAAACTTTTTACTTTGCCCAGACAAAATCGAATCGGCCTACAAAAACGCCTCTGGTATAGTGAGGGAATCTTTTTTTTGACAATTTTTCAGCGTCTTTCCTCTCGAAATAATTATGAAAACAACTTTAAATTTTACTGACAATTGCCCAAAGTGGTGTCCACCCAATTTCCCGACCCCAAGAAAACCCGTAAAAGCAGTGACACTTACGTTTAAGGATAAAATCCAGTAAAAAAGTCACAAGAAAAGCGAAAAATGAGAAACCGGAATTAGCTGAAACCACGTGGATGTAAACAAATGCTGGCTGTCAATCACTCGAGATTTTGCACGTGACCATCAAGGGGCGGAGTCAAGAGTCTTCATCTACTGAATGAGTAGTCACCCCTGACAAAATAATTTACATATAGCTAACATTATTCCTGATTTTACGCTTGGTCGCAAGGATGTAGTTGTAGGACAATTTGTAGGAGACTATCCACAATTCAGCATTCATCCTGAACCTTAAGTGATTACTCACTGCATGACGCCCCTGTTCCTTGGTTGGACCTCATCTTGGCCCATAAACCCCTTTGACAGTTTATATTTTCCAGATCATAAAATTGCCCGATCTTCATTTCAGGCCCAATGATCCTGCAGTTGATTCTTTTGGTATGTCTGGTTCTTCCAAGGACTAACGGAAGCAGTGCCACAGTCCAAACCGCCACAGGCGAAGTGGTTGGTTATTCTACTGTTGTACCACCAGGCGTTGCTGAAGATGTTCTCACTCTTGGCAAGGCATCATCAGTAAACGTTTTTCTTGGTATACCATATGCGCAACCTCCTATCGGACAGCTCAGGTGAAGAGACAATTTTGTAGTTTAATAATTTGGCACATCCCTCAGGGGAGAATCGTTGCATGGCAGATTCCCAAAGTTTCCCTCAAAACATGTTGTCCGTGGGTAATGACACTTCTGTCTTTCGAATAGCGGATTCTCCTGAAGCAGATTTGAATCCTCATGGGACAGGTGCTCCAATCTTCCCAAAGTATCCTGTACATGAACATTCGCATATTTATCTATCCTCAGATTCGCCCGAACTGTACCAGTAACACCATGGAAAACCCTGAATGCCTCATCATTCGGTTCAGCGTGCCACCAAAACATAAACGTTCTAAAGGGGTAAGTTATCAACATCCCTTCAAAACTGAGGAATTAGGATCTTTAGATGGCTCTTCAACAGAATCTTCAGCAGGGTCTTCAGCAGGGTCTTCAGTAAGATCATCAATAGAATCTCCATTAATATCTTTAGAACGATCTTAATATGGATCTTCAACAAGAGATTCGCAAGAATCTTCAGTGGGATCTTCAACAAAGTCTTCAGTGGGATCTTCAATTGGGATCTTCAGTAATAGGATCTTCCACAAGATCTTCAACAAAATCTTCAGTAGGATCTTCATTTGGATCTGTGGGATCTTCAGTAGAATCTTCAACAGGATATTCAGTAGGACTCACAATTGGATCTCTAGAAGGATCTAAAAAGGACCTTCAGATGAAGTTTCAGCAGGATCTTCAACAAATCTCCAGTAGCATCTTCAGCAAGACCTGCAACAGGATCTTTAACATCTTTCCTTCTTCCAGATTTTATAAAGAAACTATCGAGCTGAACGAGTTTAGTGAAGACTGTTTGTATCTTAATATATTTACACCACAGGTGAGAAGCAGACCACATTTTACCATGTCGCATTCCTAACAACCAATGAAGACATCTTTTAAAGGACGAGGCAAAATCCTGGACTAAGATAAAATTGTCTTTTTATTTAAAGTAATGCGGCAATTTAATTGGTTTAAAAAGCTTGATTTAAAATCGATTCTAATGATTGGCGAGGTCCTCCCCCCTCCCGACACATTCGTCAACCGAAGATCAATCGAAGGTCCAGTATCCTTGCTTTTTGTCTTGCAGTTCGGCAACAATGCCACGAGTAAACTTCCCGTTATGGTGTGGATCCACGGTGGGGGATATCAATACGGATCAACTAATCTACGTGATGGACGGGTCTTGGCTACCAATGGAGTCGTTGTGGTGGGGATTAACTATAGAGTCGGCGTTATGGGTAATGTAAAGTAGTGTCATTTTGGCTTATCCGGGATGACTTTTAGACCCATTTCATATCCACCTCATTACGAATAATACTGGTACTAGAACCAATTCCTTTAATACTTGCCAATTGATTTTAGATTTCCTGGAAATCAATAATCCTCTAATCCTAGCCAGACAATATCATGGAACCAGCAGGAATCAGCTCTGTGATTTAATTCCTGAAATCTTCTTAGACAAAGACTCCTGGGTGGTGGGGGATATCAGCTGACAGTCAGAATTGGTAGTACACTAAGATAGCCTTTAAAGGAACACTACCACTTAGAATGGTGGTGGGGAAAATCATCTGGACATTGCCTTTAAAGGGATGGAGGTGTCTACTGTTCATTTCACTTTGTGATATAACCATTAACGTGGTAACTTGATTGTTGAAATTGGGAAGAGTATGCTGTAGACTGATGCTGCAAAAGCTTGTCTTAGACAGTCCCGTCGCCAGGAATCAATTGGTGCTGGGGCTCAGATTTTGTACTCAGAAAATAAAGGCCCAGAGAACTCATTTCTGAGGATTTTAATCTGCCAAAATAAGTATCAAAATCTATATCTGTACAAAGACACTGTAAATGAATCAATCTCTGCTGAACTGAAGAAGGTTTAGCTGGGGCATAATTCTCATTTGCTGGGGACCAACCTCCACGGACCCCACCCTAACGTCAGAATGTCTATCTCATTGTTCCAGGCAGGTTAACATTAAATTCACCTTATTGTACACTACCTTAATAGTGAATCATCTTCACGGAAGAAAAGCTTAAAACTCGACCCTCAAGGACGTTGTCGCTGATGACGATACTTTATTTAAGGTTATTTGTCCACTGATGATGACGTAGCTCCCGGAAATCTTGGTATGTTGGATCAGATAGAAGCCTTGAAATGGATCCAGAAGAATATCGAGAAATTTGGTGGAGATCCTACCAAGGTGACAATATTTGGACAAAGTTCAGGTGGAGCTACGGTCACAATGCACATGTTTTCTCCGCTAACCAAAGGTAAAAATCCAACTTAATCCATCCGCAAATCTAAAAACCAGTGCCAACCATGTGGACACTCCAAAAGGGAAACCGACTAACAAACCCAATTGCAAAGTGTGTAATAAATGGCCCGTAGCCAGACTTGATTGTTCGGAGGGACAAGTAATATATCTGGAGGGGCAAGTAATATATCTGGAGGGACAAGTAATATATCTGGAGGGACAAGTAATATATCTGGAGGGACAAGTAATAGATCTGGAGGGGCAAGTAATATATCCGGAGGGACAAGTAATATATCTGGAGGGGCAAGTAATATATCTGTTGGGGCAAGTAACATATATCTGGTGGGACAAGTAATATATCTGGAAGTGCAAGTAATATACCTGGAAGGGTAAGTAATATATCTGGAGCCTTTCCAAGGGGCAAGTAATATATCTGGATGGGCACGTAATATATCTGGAGCCTTTCCAAGGGGCAAGTAATATATCTGGATGGGCAAGTAATATATCTGGAGCCCCTCCGAGATGCAAGTAATATACCTATAGGGGCAAACGGGTATGGTGTTAAGTTGCAGTAATGAAATGGGTCGGTTGTCAGAATTTTTCAGAGGGGCAATCCAATTTTTTGAAGGACATCCCCAAGAACCCACCCCCGGGAGCTATGGACCTCCCCAAGATCATCAACAGTTTCCATTTCTGATGAGGTCTCTGTTCTAGGTCTGTTCCATGGTGTTATAGCTGAAAGTGGAGTAGCCACAGATACGTTCGCAATTTACCGTCCACCATACCATCTGTTGGATACTACTAGGTCGCTAGCCAAGGAAGTTGGATGTACTGTCAATTCCACTCGAGACATGGTGTCCTGTCTAAGGACCAAGCCAGCACAGTTATTGGCTGGCACAAGCATCTCGGAGGTACGTTCAATACGATCCACTTTGATACATGGTCTGCCACGGGTAAACTCTCTTTTGAGACCGGGCGAAGAAGCTACTGATGTCACCAAGAGCATCAAGCACGTTAAGGATTTGCGTCTTCTGCAGCTTCCAGTCTTCATAGAATCAAACCACTTTGAATCATTGAACGGGTTTTGGGTAGGCAATGCACTAATTGCTTAAATCTTTAGGAGTGTCAAGCGTAAGGTCTTTTTTCCTTGTGCGTCCATGATTGTGGTCTTCATGGGATCAAAGCGATTTTGAATAATTGATAAGATGGGTAGAAAATTGCAGATCAGTCATTGAAATGGTTCCTGAAATCATCAGAAGCATCCAGAGCAGCAGTGAACCCCCTATCCTTTTTATATCCAGAGGCCTCCGATGTCTGCACCATGGGTACCAAGGGTAGATGGGTATTATATCAAGGATCTACCAGAGAATTTGCTGGCGAAAGGACAAATCCACCAATTGCCACTGATAGCTGGTAGTGTCACGTGTGAAACTTGCTCAGATTATGGTAAGCATTGATGCTGTTGACACTTCAATATATCTTCCTTCTAGAAGCCTTTGGGATCCATGCTTAGATATTTACATACAGTTCGAAATTGAAGATGGAGTCCTTTGGGAAAGTAGAAATCACTTCAAAAATAAAAAGAACGTTTGATACTATTAATACGATTTCAATCTTTTAGAATTTATAAAAGGCATTGAGAAGGGATTGACCAAGGTCCAGTTTGAGAAAGAGTTTAGAGTGTTCACAACCAGATTTGGAGTTAAAGCGACCCAGATGTATGAAGCACTGGTCTGCCAATACTATCCCAGAGCTAATGATCTAAAAGGAAACTGGAAAAGACTGAATGAGGTAGGGGATGGTCCGCCCTGTCAAGAATGTGGGTCTATTGTACAGAATATTGGACTTCACACGGACGAAATGGAAAAGTGCAAAGTTGGTTTCGCATACTTATGACAGCACTGACAATCAAGCTTACCACGATCCTGTACCGTCCGAGCGCATTACGATCTCATTCAGTTGACTTCAGTTAATTGGTCATATGAAAAGTACCAACGGCACAACCCATCGAGCTGATGAACTTAACGAGCACATTATGATCTTAATCAACATAGCTCACTTTTCATTCGACTCCTCTTCAGTTCATTATTTAATACGCAAGGGCCAATCGGCACCACCCATCTGGTGTACCATCATCTTCCCAAATTACCACCTTGATCTGTTTTGCTTCAGTTTATGGGTTACTATGAATATATTGCTGGTATATACAGAATGGTGGATAGCTATGTAAAGAAGAACCCTAACATCTGGTTGTACAGCTATAATTATAGATCATTGGTTGACAACTCTCCGGACTTCATGCGTGAGTTCTTCAATGTCTCTTCGTGGTCTATCCGCCTTAAAGTCTTCAGCACATAAATCTGGTAGGGTTCCTCACAATGTAAACCTTTGGGAATGGAAGCAAAATGACAGAGACTCTCGCTATCCAATAGCGTTATATTAGCTTCTTGAACATTACTTCTTACACATGCTTCAGTTCTTTAGTGTCTCTTCGTGCTCTAGTTTTGATCTTCAGATTTTCCTCTTACAAAGCTAGTAAAGACCTCTTGCTTGAATCTCTTCTCTTGTAGAATCTTACCACTCCATGGAGTTACAATACGTGTTTGGCCAACCATTTCTTGAAGGATTTGGACGACCTTACCTCACCCAATTTAAGAAATTCAATCCAGAAAGTTTCAATTGGACGGCAGACGATAAACAGCATTCCCGCCAAATGATGAAAATATGGTCAGGATTTGCCAAAACTCTGTAAGTAAACTAATCTTTACGGGTAATGGGCAATGATATACTCTGGTGAAACAACCTGGCTCTAATCTAGTGGCACAACTACCATGGGGACTCGTGGAACAATGAACCAGGTCCATGAGAGAGGGGCCCCAACACAATGAAGTCCACGGCCACCCTTGAGCCACTGCTCCAATTTCAATTTCCTAAAGGATAATGTCACTAGTTGATCCGGCTCTCGTGAAAAGGTGGTCTGTTGAAATAAAAGAAAAACAATCATGTAGTTCATCAAGTGTTCCAGAGCTTTGGATACAGTTTTGGACTAACATGAATCTTCGCACCCGAGATCTTTGGCTACAGAGACTAAGCTATGTGGATGGTGTTACCAATTGACAAAATTCGGAACTGATGGTGCTCAAAACTGATGCAAAGTATGCTTGGGGTCATAAGCTATCAAAGCAATAAACCAAAATTGTGTAAGTTTGGAACCATCCAAAGCATTTTCCATATGCAAAAACCAATCTCGAAAACTTTACTAGAGATGATTTTGGTGTTCCAGTCATCTGATTGGTCAATCGCTGCAATTGATTATAAATTTAGTTTTATTATCCAATCAGACTACTGTATTTCTAAAAAACTGGATTAAGTCTTCGTCAAGTTTTTGAGAATAAGGTCCCTGGATTAAAGAGTTAGCCAGAGTTACTTGAACGAGTATTGGCAACAGAAGCTTTATATAACGTCTGTTCTTTACAGGAACCCTGACTCAACAGGAACATCATGGCCAAAGTATGACTTACAACAGAAGACTTATTTACGGCTGGACAAAACCAACACCATCAAACATGACCAAGCTCCAGTGGAATTGGAATTTTGGAATGACTTTGTACCGAAAGTTTTAGCTGGTACAGCAAACCCGTCTGATTGTCCTGTTAGGAAACATTCTGGTATCATTGGATAACATCTCATCCACTTAAAAATAGACACTTTTGGACACCCTTCAACGGAATATAGTCACTTAATAATTTTGGAAAATCTGAAGTCAAGTTTGTCTGCAATTAAATAAAATGTCAATGGCATCCATAGTATGCCACCTATTAATTTTGAAAATCTGAAGTCAAGTTTGTCTGCAATTAAATAAAATATCAATGATATCCATAAAATGCCACCTGCTAATTTTGAAAATCTGAAGTCAAGTTTGTCTGCAATTCAATAAAATGTCAATGGCATCCATAGTATGTATGTTACATAATCTTTAAAGTATGGATCCATTAATCGATCATTACTTATTTAATTGTATGTCAGATTTTCAATTTAAAAGTGATACGGGTAAGAAAACAAAATAGATGATTATATACCTCAGGGATTAAAAAAAACAAGAATTATATATGTTTAAAGATGGGTTCCCTTATTTTCATTTCTGGAAAAATACCAGTTTGTTTCACATGTCCATAATAAATTCATAATTAGCTAAATAAGAAGAGAATAATCAGCAGAATTCCAATGAGTGACCGATCAAGAAAGGTCAAAAAGTTTTTTTTTTTACATTTATAATCAAATAGTTTGCTTAATTTGACACTAAAAAAATAAGGAAACCCATCTTTAAGCTCTAAAACCCCTTTTGGATACATTTTGAGAAGGGTGGTCAAGCCTCATTACAAATTCTGTCTCCCATTGCTCAACAATATATTACTTTTTGTTTATTTTGTGAAATTTTGATTTTTCAATAATAGAGATGATTGTAATTTTTGTTTTATGAACTACACAGTGTGATTTTCAATATTGAAAATTAGAATGAAGTAAATTGATGCTATCAGTGTCCACGATACACATAAAAAATTTAGAGAACCTCTTTACAATCCCTTTAACAAGAACCACAGACGTCTGATTGAAAATTAGAATGATGTAAATTGATGCTATCAGTGTCCACGATACACATAAAAAATTTAGAGAACCTCTTTACAATCCCTTTAACAAGAACCACAGACGTCTGATTGAAAATTGGAACGATGTAAATTGATGCTATCAGTGTCCCTGATACACATAAAAAATTTAGAAAACCTCTTTACAATCTCTTTAACAAGAACCACAGACGTCTGATTGAAAATTAGAATGGTGTAAATTGATGCTATCAGTGTCCCTGATACACATAAAAAATTTAGAAAACTTCTTTACAATCCCTTTAACAAGAACCACAGACGTCTGATTGAAAATTGGAATGGTGTAAATTGATGCTATCAGTGTCCCTGATACACATAAAAAATTTAGAAAACTTCTTTACAATCCCTTTAACAAGAACCACAGACGTCTGATTGAAAATTGGAATGGTGTAAATTGATGCTATCAGTGTCCCTGATACACATAAAAAATTTAGAAAACCTCTTTACAATTACAAGTAAACAAATAAAAGAAAAACAATATATAAATTAAAGTATTATTTGTTGTCAATAACAATATCAACAATATTATTTACAATCTATATAAACAAACAAACAAACAAACAAACAATCATATACAAATTACTAAGAGTCTAACTTCATCAATCTGTTTATGTTGATGTTTTTAAAAAATCTCCTTAGATGTCCTTAATATTTTAATCAACTATATCTTAACTATCTATAAAAGGGAAAATAAACCCTTTTTAAATTTCTTAAAGAGATTGTAAAGAGGTTTTTCTAAATTTTTTATGTGTATCAGG